AAATAGCTCTAGGATTTTGACTGTTGGCGCGTCCTCTGTACGCCTGGCAACATTGGGATTTGCATAGCCAGGTGCTTAAACGTAATATAACGGTTGCACCTCGCTGAAAGCCATGCAGGGCTGAACACCAGAAACAGAAATTCTTCACACCCAGACTCCCGAAGTCGCGGCGAGGAAAAGGAGGAAGATGGAGGGTGGAGCAGGGAGGATCGGCGGGAGGGAGGGACGAAAGGGGAGGGTGGAAACAGATGGCGCAGGTGGATCAGCATAGAGTGGAGAGTAGGAGGAGGCCAGGACTGCGTTCACTGGAGGCTGCCGAACGCATCGGAGCCTGCCAACGGAGGCGTTTACAAGCATCGCGACTCCCATGAAACTCACCCTGTCGACGCTGCCCTTGGAATTATCGTATGACCCCTGGCGAGACATTCCGGCACATCCAGGCCGCATGCTGACCAACAAACTTTGTATTCTGAAATCCTGATTGCACCCGCTCGACCAACACATCTTATACACGAGTACGTTCCCCCTCTAAACTTTTGAGAGCCCAAGTCGCAATCACTGTGGCGCTGGGGCACCGCGCTTAGATCGTCAGTCAGCAGGACGAGCGGGGGAGAGATAGAGACATCCATAGCGAGAACACCATGCGCGACAAAAGATGCAGAAAGAGTTTCAAGGAGCTGCCATGTGTAATGCCTGCACCTTTCGCGATTGAAAACGCACTCCGAACATGGCGTTGCACATCCCCGTCACTTTGCCGTCCTGCTTGCACGATAGACATTCACCCCGGATAGGATCTGTAGCCAATCGCCAACATGGTCCAAGCAAACATTTTGACATCCATGGAAGACTCTCTGATCTACGACTTCACCGCTAAGAGCAGGTTCCGAGACAACTCGCGACAAATAGGTCGCATACATGCTGGTTTGACGATCGCTCAAGTCAGATCCTTGAAAATGCCATTGCTTTTTGCATACCGTGTTGGGGGCGCGAGGCGTTAAGGAAGGTATTCCCAAGAGAGCAGCTGACGTCGTCGTCAAATCATCATCATCATCATCATCATCATCATCATCCCATCCTGGACGAGGCGGGGATTCGCCCATGAGCAATGCCTGCGGGATCGACCTTCGGAAACCTCGGCAGGAGGTGGATGCAGACATCGGTCCCAGCTCCCCTGCGGCCAGACGAAAACTAGCATCCAGATCCACCGTACGCCGACGTCCCAAGAGATCAATACCCAGGGCGGCGGTTATCAATAAACCCCACATCGGATACAGTCGGGGCGTTGACCCAAGGAACCCTAAATAAGGAACGAGGCCCCCTTTTTCCATAAGTTAAACTTCGATTCCCCATCGAAAACCTAAGGACAACCTACGGCAAACTGCGAAACAATTAAGGAACACGGAGCCCCTCCCCAGCGAAAAGGGTTCCTTCTTCAGCGCCCCAGATGCGCACGCGAACCAGTGGCTTGACAAACCTGGCGCACACACCGAGCCTGGGCCACAGATCGGCCCGACCAACATTGTTTTCTGCAGGTGTACACCACGCCACCTCCGACCTGGAGGCGGCCACACGTGAACCGCACCATGCTGCCCATCGATTTGGACAAATTGGGGCTCGCCATTGGGACTCAGACTGTGCGGGCGTGCGCCGAACGCGAGCGAACCAAACTCCGAATTGTGAACCCCATGCACGTCCCAATCGCTTGGCGCTGTAGGAGTGGGTTTCATGGGTCGCTGCCTGCTCCGCGTACTGTTCCTGTGAGCGTCCCTGAAGACTTCGAGATGCAGCGCCGATACTCGCACACATAAGCAAAAACATAACGAAACGACCGAGCTCGGTCCGAAGCGCCGGGATCCAAGCTCCAATCGCCGCAACGCCGGCTCAGCAAGGTCACGCCCCCCACCTCTCAACAAATGCGGACAACCTCGGCAATGGACTTACGACGAAAGAACGGGTCGCTTGCTCCATACCGCCGCGGTGACTTTTTGCGTTTTCCCCCACCCCCCTCCGCCCAAAACCAGATGGCCGCCAAGGCGACTTGCAAACAAAGTCCGTGGCTTGGATGGACCTGTAAACGCGCAGCGATAGGGGCCAACACGATTGCGCGATGATGGCGATGACGATGACGATGCAAATGACGATGCCTGTTGAATGCTGAGCGCGCCTTGCATTCGTGACTGCGGCCTAGTTGACCCTCCCGATGATGGCTAGCCTGATTCCCCTTTGTAGTACTCGATCCTGTTCGTCTCCTTGTCGCGGCACTATGGCACTTGTGCGCGAGACGCACATTTATGCCACTCGCCACACAGGTTATCGTAGACCCTCGCGCTCCTGTGCGCACAGCCCGCATCGCAGACTACTTGCTTGAGTATACTTGATTTTTCGTCCAAGATTCCCCTGTAGGGGGGATGCATCGACCCCCAATAGGGGAACGAAGAATGCCATAAACATGAAAACTCGGAGGGCCGCGCGGCTTTCTCGGATCCGCGCTGGACTCCCCTGGCGGCGCCTCTGGCGCCGCCCCTGGCGCGCTCCGTGCGCCAGGGAGGAGGCTCCAGCGCCGATCCAAGAAATCCGCGCGGACCTCCGAGTTGCAACAGCAAACAGCTGTCTATGTTTGTGCCGTTTGATCTTCGGTCCTCGTCCTCCAAGGAGGAGCAGGAGGAGGAGGAGGAGGAGGAGGAGGAGGAGGAGGAGGAGGAGGAGGAGGAGGAGGAGGAGCCTCCCATCATGCTCCTCCCCTTCGTCCAACTTCCGCCCTGCCCGCCTCCGCTCCTCCTCGCCCTGCTCCTTCTCCTCGCCCTGCTCCTCCTCCTCGCCCTCCTCCCCTGGCCCC